CATCGAGGGACCATTTCTAACGGGTGCGAATAGCCCCCAACGGTAACGGTCATCTTCTAATGGCTGGAGCCATCCTCCAAGGGTAAGAAGTTCCATCCAACACCAAGGATCACCACTTATAGGTAAGACTTATACCTTCGCAAACAGGAACACCTTCAAGGGGCTTGAGGGTGATCCTGTCTGCGGGAGGGGGGTACTTGTACCATATCTCCCGCAGATATGATCATCTTCAAGCAACTTGAAGCTGATTTCTGCTTGCGTAGGCATAAGTCAAGCCTCTCAGTGGCGATCCAAGTTGTGGGAAGGCACTTCTAACCACTTGGAAGATGGTTCCTGGTCATTGAAAGGTGGCAGTTTACCACTTGGGGGCTATTCAATCCTGCTAAAAATGGTCCCACGCGCGGACAGGGGATCCGCGTCCCCCACCGGCGTCGAATTACAAAAACCTTCAACGTAGGGATGCACCAGTCAAAAAATAAAGAATTTGTCTTTTTTTAATATTTGTTACACCCCCCCTCTGTTTATATCCCTCCCCTCCCACGTGCGGCCCCCTCCTGGGGGCCGCGTCCTGCACCCGGGGTCATCACCGGGTGCCACCCCGCGTCCTGCACCCGGGGTCATCACCGGGTGCCAACCCACGTCCTGCACCCGGGGTCATCACCGGGTGCCACCTCCCGTCCCCAGACCCCTTTAGGGGCCGTACCGCCCCTCCCCGCGTCCTGCACCCGGGGCGATCCCCGGGTGCCCTCCCCTGTGACCGGCCTTCCATACAGGCCTTGTCCTCAACGCTTCGGGTTTGGAAGTTTTCGAATTTCAGGATTCCCGGTGCGAAAACGTCGAACTTCAAAGATTTCGAAGTTTAAAGATCCCGAGGAACAATGGTTTCGAAATTGGAAAGACTGTTAAGTTCAAAGATTCGAGATGGAGGTGTCGAGTTCCCAGAATTCGAAAATCTTGAGGTGAGAAAACGCCAAAGAAGAATCTTTGGCGTTTTCCAACCCCTAGAGTTTCGAACCCATGGGATCCCGACTTCTATCTCGAAGTCTTTTGAACCCCGCAGACTTACCAATTCCGAGGTCATCGCACCTCATCCGTTGCCTTCCAACCCCGGAGGTTTGGGGTCCCGATGTCTTCGGATCCTTGGGTCCGCTGGTGTGATTCCTTGATGTCCTGGTGGTCCTGAAGTTCTCCGCTGACTATGATGTCCCAGTTGATTCCACCTGTTGTTGGCTTCGATGTCCACCACTTGTTCTGCTAACTAAAAAAAAGAAAGAAAAAATCTGAATGAAAATTACTGTTTAGTATAAGAAAAGCAAAAGTTAGAAAAACATTTATTATGTATTACAAAGTTTAAATGTAAATGAAAAAAAGTACGATAAATTGAATGAAAGAAAAGCTTTAAGAATAACAATTAAAAGGTAAAGATATAAATGACGTTAAAGCAAATCAAAAGAAATAAAAGTTATAAATTAATACAAACTAAAAGACGAAATAAATAAAACAAACATTTTAAGAAAAAGTTAAAGGTAAGTGAAAAAAGTAAATAAAGTAAAGAATAAAAATATGCTTTGAAAGTATAGAAAAAGAAAGACAATTTCTAATAAATATAATAAATAAATGTTAATTACATTTCCCTGATGTGCTTTTTGCCTCGNTCATCACCGGGTGCCACCCCGCGTCCTGCACCCGGGGTCATCACCGGGTGCCAACCCACGTCCTGCACCCGGGGTCATCACCGGGTGCCACCTCCCGTCCCCAGACCCCTTTAGGGGCCGTACCGCCCCTCCCCGCGTCCTGCACCCGGGGCGATCCCCGGGTGCCCTCCCCTGTGACCGGCCTTCCATACAGGCCTTGTCCTCAACGCTTCGGGTTTGGAAGTTTTCGAATTTCAGGATTCCCGGTGCGAAAACGTCGAACTTCAAAGATTTCGAAGTTTAAAGATCCCGAGGAACAATGGTTTCGAAATTGGAAAGACTGTTAAGTTCAAAGATTCGAGATGGAGGTGTCGAGTTCCCAGAATTCGAAAATCTTGAGGTGAGAAAACGCCAAAGAAGAATCTTTGGCGTTTTCCAACCCCTAGAGTTTCGAACCCATGGGATCCCGACTTCTATCTCGAAGTCTTTTGAACCCCGCAGACTTACCAATTCCGAGGTCATCGCACCTCATCCGTTGCCTTCCAACCCCGGAGGTTTGGGGTCCCGATGTCTTCGGATCCTTGGGTCCGCTGGTGTGATTCCTTGATGTCCTGGTGGTCCTGAAGTTCTCCGCTGACTATGATGTCCCAGTTGATTCCACCTGTTGTTGGCTTCGATGTCCACCACTTGTTCTGCTAACTAAAAAAAAGAAAGAAAAAATCTGAATGAAAATTACTGTTTAGTATAAGAAAAGCAAAAGTTAGAAAAACATTTATTATGTATTACAAAGTTTAAATGTAAATGAAAAAAAGAACGATAAATTGAATGAAAGAAAAGCTTTAAGAATAACAATTAAAAGGTAAAGATATAAATGACGTTAAAGCAAATCAAAAGAAAGAAAAGTTTTAAATTAATACAAACTAAAAGACGAAAAAAATAAAATAAACATTTTAAGAAAAAGTTAAAGGTAAGTGAAAAAAGTAAATAAAGTAAAGAATAAAAATATGCTTTGAAAGTATAGAAAAAGAAAGACAATTTCTAAAAAATATAATAAGTAAATGATAATTACATTTCCCTGATGTGCTTTTTGCCTCGACTGGGTCGAAATTATTGGAATGGAATTTGCTGGTCTGGTCTCTTGATGACCTTGAAGTCCTGTTGTTCTTCACTATTCATATGTTCGAAGATGTTGCTGGTTTCGATGACCATCACTGAGTGGTCTTGCTAACTAAAAGAAAAAATTATCTGAATTAAATTACTGTTTAGTAAAAGAATTAAGTATTAATGTAATAAGAAAAGATTTATTATATTTAAAGAAAACAAATAAAAAGAAAATAAAGATCCAAACGTAGATATAATAAATTAAATGAAAAAAAACTAAGATGTGAAGCTCTGAATGACGTTAAAGTAAATCAAAAGAATAATACAAATTAGAAGAAATAAAAACAAATGTTTGAAAGTTAAAATTCTAAGAAAAAGTTAACAGTAAATAACAAAAATAAATAAGGTAAGTAAGAACGAAAATAACAATTCAAATATAGAGAAAGAAATACAAGTTCCAAATCTAATGGAAAAGAAAGATCGTTTTAGAAAAATAGAAAAGTAAATAAATTTTAATTACATTTCCTTGAAGTGCCTGTGCCTTGACTGGACCGATATTGGTGGAATGGATTGCCCTGGTCCTTGATATTAGAAAGACAATTTTAATCTAATCCCTTGATGCCCTAGTGGTCCTATGTTCTCCACTTGGAATACTTGTTAGCTTCCATGCCCATTACTGACAGGTTCTACTAAATAAAAAAACAATGAAAAGTTCTGATTTAAGTTACTGTTTAGTTTACAATTACTGTAAAAATTAAGTCTTGATTTAAAACAAAAAGATTTATTATATATTATAGTATTTCAAGAAAGTTTAAATGTCACTTACCAATTGATTGCTGTGAATCCATTATTTAGTACTCAATTGAGAACAAATTTTTCTGCATCCACGGGGAAAAGGGCATTTTCACGTTTTTTCATGTGGAAAGAAACAGGACTTCCGCAATCGATGCCTCACAGCAAGCAATGCCAAAAGTTGTGGTATAATATTCCTGTAAGATGAATTATTATGTTATTATCAATGCAATTATTTTATATACAAAATTAAAAAGAATACTTAGNGATACTATCATTTTCATTAATAACAAAAAATTTAATTGAATAATAAATCCCAAATAATCCCTAGAACGTTTGTGTCCGCATACTTTAACTATTAAAACTTTTATCAATTGTAAGCTATCAGACTTCGTATAAATAATTACGATGTACAGTACACAACGTAAAAATGCCCTAATACCACCCACATTAGACTAGAATAGTCAAAAACGTTTATTTACATCGACAGACTTATGAAATCATAATTGTTTTCTTACACTGCTTATGTACCAAAGAAGTCTAAATAAATTATTTTGTTAAAATCGAACAAGTTAGTTGCCTACAAATTTCGACTCAGACTGTAACACTTCTACACTTATCATTTTCTTGACTCTAGGGCACTCTGTAATTTTGCGGGAAGGTACTAACTTAATTTGAATTTAAAATTGGCGTAATTTTACTCCAACATATCGGCAATCCACTGCACTGCTAAGTATTGCCATCGTCAGCGCAGTAGCAATTCAAAGTCAAAATTATTAAAGACACCGTTTTCAAAAAGAACGTTTTTAAAATATACACTAGTAACTTTTAGACATATAATTTGACTCTGTGTCTAATCACAATTACTTTATTACTTTTTAATTCTTTCAAATCCATAAGGGAGACCTATTTCATTAAAAAATTAAAACGACTTTTCAAATGGGGGTTGAAAGGGCATCTTAGTAATTTCTAACTATAAAATTCTTTCCCCTGATGCCCCACCACAACTTTGATGCCTTTTGGTACGTTCAGCTTGTTTAATAAGGGAAAAATTAATTTATTAAGAGATAAAAGACGTTTTTAAATCGGGGGTTGAAGGTGCACCCCGACAGTATCTAACTACACAATTCTTTTCATTGATGACTCAGAACAACTTTAATAGATTTTGGTACTTTCAGTTCGTATATNAACGCGCATGTCAATTTCCGACCTGCTAAACAATTATCCTTAAAGATCCAAAGGACGAATTATATGTGAAAAACTATGAGGAATCACGTGATGCCAACAGTTTTTCAATGCATCTTGAATTTAAGAAAATTTGATTGATATAATTCGAAAACAAATTCTGTTTTAAACTTGTATCACAGTTTAGAAAGGTTTAATTCATTCAGTCAATTCAAAAATACCACATTAATTTTCAAAACAAGTTTTAGTATTATTATTTATATTAATACGAGTAAAATGTCTCTTGGACAATTGTTCAGGCATACGACTGTTAGAGAGAGCAAGCATTCGGAGAATAAATGATAGAAAATTAGGTTCGGATTATGATACAACTTTTCTTAACTACAGAAAGAGCTTTATTATACGAAAAAATATTAAAAGTTAACTACAACCACCTCGATCATGATGAAGCTGTCAAAGAACGAAAGAACATTCAATCTTATATTGAGTACATTAATTAATTAATTCCGGAGAATATTCCCCCTAAGTATAAGAAATTGTAACAAGGAGAAAACAAGAGTTTTTATTTGTAACACAAGTTTAGAAAAATTATTTGTTTTAATAATGTAAAATATTCTTCATTTCTGAAGAAATTCCGTTTTATTTAAATATTAAAATTAGACTAAGACTATCTAGAATGGTTGAACAGCTAAACAACGAAATAATTTTCAAACCCTACTCAGTATTTTTTATATATTATTACTTTCAGTTTTTATTGCTATTTATATAATTTCGTTGAATTTATAATGCGCTACGTAATTATGCAGTAAATAACAATTTAATATTGATATTGTAAAATTTTACAGGGAAAAAGCTAAAAAAAGAACGAATTTTATATTCCTGCAGCGGTGGTAGTGGGTTTTCATATGTGAAAGTGAATTTCCCTGAACTCAGAGATTCAAAAAAAATTATTACTTGAAGTCTGGAAGTGTTTTCTTAATGTTGTTTACAATTTGTTAGGAAACCACAAAGCAAAAAATTAGAAGGATTTAGTTAATGAACTTATGATTTTATACAAAGCTTTCAAGTGTAATATCTCCTTAAAAATTCATATGCTGGACTCTCATCTGGATTTCTTTCCCTAAACTTAAGATTCAATTTTGTAATTGTAAGGTAAGATTGATTACAAGCAAAAACATAATATTTTTACCGAAAAAACATACTTTGTGTTCTACAGTTGAAAACATGATACACATTTTATTTCTAGATCCCTGGAATTTTTCAAAAACAAGTTGAAACAAATACCTAGTCAGAAAAAGGCGAAAATCCAACCACTATCACTAAAATTTCAAAGGTGAAAAACTCACCGAACGTAATGATTCACCGGTAATTTTCCAGGGTAAGGCTTCACATCAAACAAAATGTTTTATCCCATTTATTTATCCCTGAATAACACCACAGTGAGAAAATCAGATCTTCTTTCTCTGATTTCACTATACTGATAACTACCGAACCGGCATAAACAATAGACTTTCGGGAAACATTAACGCTAATACAAAGACATCCGCCATTAATTAGCTAATGTGGAATTTTCCAGTTTCTTACGTATACCCTAATGACTGGACTAAACGACTGCTAACACTATTGAAAAGCGCATGTACAGAAAACTTTTGATATACGATCTTTTGAATAAAAGGCAAAACTCAATTTAAAATTAGTTCGAATAATTGAAAAGAGCAAATATAAATAATTTAATCATGGATTTCTGTCCGTAAAAACCCTTCCGGGAGTACTGGTTGGCTTATTTTAAGTTCGATTTGTGTAATTTTTTTAATTCCCTTACACTACAAGGAATCATCGCTGACGACAGCATCAAAGTACAAAAAAGTGAATTTAAAGAATATTTACACTAAGAACTTATTTTTTGAGTTTTTGCTATATGAAATAACTTTCAAACTTGATTCGTAAATTTCCAAAAGAAAACAAGTACTCGGAGAATAAAAGATAGAAAATTACGTTCGAAAAAAGCTGCATTCTTCTTAACTACAAAAGAGGCTTTATTATACTTAAAGAATACTAAAAATAGGCTACTATCACTTCTATAATAGTATAACTTTCAAACAATGAAAGAGCTTTTAACTTTGGTTCGTTAGTTTCGGAAATTGGCCCCTACATATTACAGAATAGACAAACTAACGCATTTTCTCTGTAATACAAATTAAAAAGGTTTAATTTATACAAAGATAACGCATTAATTTTCAAAATAAATTTTTAAGGACTATTTATACTAAAACGAGCCAAAATGTCTTGTCCTGTCGGTCGAGCACATGACTGTTAAAGAGAGAAAGTATTCGGAGTACGAAAGACAGAAGGTTACGCTCGAAAAAAAAGCTAAAAAATATATTCTTAACAACATAATATGCTTTAAAATATTTAAATAACATTAAAAACAGATTGCTACCACTTCGATAATGGTATAGCTTTCAAAAAATAAAGGAGCTTTTAACTTTGTTTCCTCAGTTTCGGAAATTAGCCACTACATATTATAGAACACATAAACTAACGCATTTTCTTTGTAATACAAGTTTAAAAAGGTTTAATTTACACAAAGATAACGCATTAAAATTCGTAATAAATTTTTAAGGACCATTTGTATTAAAACGAGCCAAAATGTCTTGTTCTGTCGGTCGAGCACATGACTGTTAAAGAGAGCAAGTATTCGGTGAAAGAAAGACAGAAAGTTACGCTCGAACAAAAACCAAAAAATATATTCTTAAACATAAAATGCCTTAAAATATTTAAATAACATTAAAAACAGATATTAACCACTTTGATAATGGTATAGCTTTCAAAAAATAAAGGAGCTTTTAACTTTAGTTTGTTTGTTTGGCAACTTAGCCTCTACATATTATAGAAAAGACAAACTAATGCATTTTCTTTGTTTTACAGTTTAAAAAGGGTTAATTTACACAAATATAACGATAAAGCACCCAAATTCACACTCAAAAAAGTTCAAAAATTGTAAGCTTTGAGAAGTGATGATTATGTAAAAAAAAAGTACATAGAATCTCATGGTGGCATTTTCAAATATAGCAACACTCAAAGCACTCGTCCCCATGAACTTTTAGTGCAAACGAAATACAAATGCATTTGTAACCTATACGCAAACATTACTTCCAAATTGCTAATTAAATGCCTTAATTATACATAGATTAGAAAAATTCTATTGCACTAATACAATATTACATTGTTAGGTACTTACCTACATAGTTAATTAATCGAAATATGAACCTCCAAAGTTGTTGTCAATGCATGACACAAAAAAATAGTTCAATGAGATGGATTTTGCTGTTGATACATAATGGAACATTTTTAATCGTTAAATAAGTAAGTCTCAGTTACTTATTTATGTTTAAAAGTACGATTTGAAATAATTATGTACGCACTCGCGAAATTCGAGTGTTTAATAATTCGTAAAATTGTGGATTAATTTTTAAATTTAATCCGACTATTTAATGTTTATTCATTACAAAGGAACGCGAGACGTGTAACTTCACACGTACATACAAACATATTATTTCTCCAATCAGATTACAAACAAAGCAGCTATTATCAGAAACAAGGACAAGGACGATGACAAATAGATAACACTTAGTCAACATTTTATAGTTTTACGATTAATGAAATAAAATACAAAGCCTTTTATAAACGAAAGAGAAATTTTAGTTTTAAAAACCTTTTGATAGAAGATTAAATTACGAATGATTTTTTTTTGTTTTTATATTGCTAAACTAAAAGGAGAGGCACACCGAAGCTACATTATTTTTAATAAAAAAATAGCCAGTTTTGATTAATAAGGATTTTCTAGAAAATTAATAACATTATTAGAATTTGATACTATCATTTTCATTAATAACAAAAAATTTAATTGAATAATAAATCCCAAATAATCCCTAGAACGTTTGTGTCCGCATACTTTAACTATTAAAACTTTTATCAATTGTAAGCTATCAGACTTCGTATAAATAATTACGATGTACAGTACACAACGTAAAAATGCCCTAATACCACCCACATTAGACTAGAATAGTCAAAAACGTTTATTTACATCGACAGACTAATGAAATCATAATTGTTTTCTTACACTGCTTATGTACCAAAGAAGTCTAAATAAATTATTTTGTTAAAATCGAACAAGTTAGTTGCCTACAAATTTCGACTCAGACTGTAACACTTCTACACTTATCATTTTCTTGACTCTAGGGCACTCTGTAATTTTGCGGGAAGGTACTAACTTAATTTGAATTTAAAATTGGCGTAATTTTACTCCAACATATCGGCAACCCACTGCACT